ATATTTTCTTTGAAATTATAAAATTTTCTTTGACTTGCTCAGTTAACAGCTAATAACTTTACAAATCCTATTTTATCGGTTATTATTGCTAAGTAATATTGTAGATATTGTCATTCTGTACAAATTAACACCAATTTCACCATCCTATCTCTTCACAATCAAAAGTTATACACTGTCCAAATGTCGTGTGGCAGCACTATTTTCAGTGTTCACTTGCAACTGCAAACCCCCTCCTCACAGCTGCACACCTCTACAACCCACCATTTTAAATACAAACATAAATCCTCTATCTGATAAAATTTTAATCATATATTATCATTTATAGTTTACAAGAGAGAAGCATGACAAATCTTGCCATTCTTTTGGTCACTCCAGTTTTTGTAGACCTCCCTTATACTGAAATGAATTTAAAGACATATTATTTTTAATTGTCTACTTGGACTTAATTCATTAATAGGACATAATCTGGTGTTTAAAGATTGACACAGCAATGAGAGTTAGTTCAGGAAAGAACAAAATTTCTTTATTATATCACCTGTAGTAATAGTTTCTGTACACATATTACAAGTGTTTCGGGCTATCATGCCCCTCATCAGCAGTACTACTACCACAAACTAAAAGTAACAATAATAAAACAAGATAAGTTATTGTATAAGTTAAAATATTTTACATAGCCATAAAAATAATTTTAAAAAACTTACTGTAAATACATATTCCAAACCCAAGTATAAATGTATTTTTCTCTTTGTATAATTAATTAATGATTTAAACATTTCACTGTATAAATAAATTAAAATATAATAAATAAAGGTTGTAAATTATTAAAAACTAAAACATTACATATGAAAACCAAAAGGACTCACATCAAGGTTCAAATTTTCACAATTCAACAGTATTATGGTGTAGAGACTATGCCTTTTTATAATCGTCATCTAGAATGGTGCTCCAGGATTGGTGGATTATACGACCCAAATTATTGTTTATTTTATTTCTTTCTTTCATTATGTTTAAATGTTCGTATAATTGACGTTTGAAATTATTTGATTCTTTTTTCATTATTTTTATAGTATCTTTGTTGATTTGGCACCCATAACTATTGCAGTGTTCTGCTACTGCAGAATTTGCATAATTACCCCTTATTGCACGTATGTGCTCTTTTATTCTTGTGCCTAATTTTCTTTTTGTTTCACCTATATAAGTTTTAACCGGATCACAACTGCAATTGAATGAATACACAATTTCTTTTTCTTCCATTAAATCCAATTTTTTATCTACCCTATTATATAAATATCTTTTAAATAAATTATTTTTTTCGGGTATTAAATTCACTTTTTCATTTAGTACATTTTTAACTCTTTCAAACAGTTTAGGTACATACATCATTTTTACACGTTTTTTATCTTTTTTAATTTTATTGTCATTATTATTAGTCCAGTTTAACCATTTTTCTAATATTTTTTGGGGGTAACTATTCAGTAAGAACATTTTTATTACATGTTCTATTTCCATCTCTTGATTTTCTAATTTACTAGTTTTGTTTTTAATTTTTTCTATGTACATTTTGAAGATGTTAAATTTCATAGCTTGTGGAACGTTGGTTTTATAATTTAGTACCTTTGGTATTTGCGTAGGTTTTATAAATTTTCTGAATTCTAATTTGTTGTCAGTTCTATTAATGGTTATGTCTAAATAATTTAAACTATTATTACATTCTGTTTCGGCTTCAAACTGTATGTTTGTTTCTATTGAATTTGCTTGTTTTAAAATTTTTTCTTCGTTAGTCTTTCTACTATCAAATAAAATAATGCAATCATCCACATATCTATTATAAAATATTATTCCTTTTATATCTGTAATTTTTTTATCTATGTCTATCATAAAGATTTCGGCAAGTCTTGGGCCTATGCATGTTCCCATTGGTATTCCTTCAGTTTGAGTATAAAAGTTATCATCATACTTGAAATGATTGTTATCCAGTACTAACAAACATAATTTAATAATCCAGATAGGTGCGTTAATTTTCTGTAAAGATTTTTCAATGTTACTTTTTGTTATACTAGGATACATATTTTTTATATCTAAAGATAACAATTTCGTATATTTATTAATTGTAATATTATCGTTTTTTAATCTATTTAATAATAAATCAACATTTTTTAAACTATAATCGGAAATTTCTAACGTATTAAGCTTATTTTTTTAAAATTTTTCTAGATTATAGTATACATAATTTTTTACATCAATTAAAGGTCTGTACTTAACTGGATTTTTATGCATTTTTACCCTAATATTGAATTTAGGTATGCGATTGTTTTCGTTATTAATTTTCCTAAATTCTTCATCTGTTATCAGATTTCGGTTTTTCATATCTTCTAATTCTTTATTTAAGTTATTTAGCATACTTTTTCTTGGGTCCTTTTCCAATAATTTATATCCACCTCCTTGTATTTCTGTTATAATATCATTTTTCTTTTCAGACTATAATTATCGTTTGTTTTGTTTTATCACCTTGGAGTAATTCCAATTTATTTTCTATTAAAAATTTTTTAACGTTATTTAAATGTCTTTTATAATTTTGTACTTTATCTATCGTTTTTCTTTTTAGTTTTTGATTTTTTATGATATGTGTACAGAAACTATTACTACAGGTGATATAATAAAGAAATTTTGTTCTTTCCTGAACTAACTCTCATTGCTGTGTCAATCTTTAAACACCAGATTATGTCCTATTAATAAATTAAGTCCAAGTAGACAATTAAAAATAATATTAGAATTAAAAAGGACAGTAAGGCTTTTATAATTAGAATTTAAAGACATAATCAGATCAAAAAGGAGCTAGAGTGACAGACAAATTTCACAGTATTTGTGGATTCCCTGACTTTCTCTGACATTTGATGCCATTCCGACTTTCCAAGTGTGTGTGTGTGTGTATATATATATATAATTTATGCATTTAAAAAGGAATAAGTTGAAATTTTTTCAATAAATTTTTTAAAATGAAATTAATTTGAAATTATTTTAGCTCTTGCAATTCCATACATACCTGATAGAAATAAACTTAGCTTTAACCTCTAAACAGAAACACAGGTCACTACTACATAATTGGAAACATTGGTCTGAGAAACCTTGTATTTTTGTAGACTTCATATTTTGCATATTTGTTACTATACATGAGTTATGATTTTGGACAACAAAGAGAAAAAATTATAAGTAATTCAAATTTATTCAAAACTAATTTCTTAGTAGTAAAATTAAGGAAATTTTTGAATAAATTCTAACTTTCAGTCAATTATTATTGCACATGTGATGCAAACTTTTCTGTGGCATTTTAGACAAATTGGATTGTTACATTTGATACATTTGTAGAAAATTTTTCTGTCCTTGGAAGATGGACAATTGGAAAAGGTCTTCCTTTTCTCAAGCTTGTTGCTCAAAACTTGATCATTTCTAGCAGCAATATCTGCTGGAGATGATCAAGTTTCATATTCCAATACTGCCTCCCATATCAATGCCATAATCTGTCTGGGTAGATTAGAAATACTGAACCATCCTTTGACATGTAGATCCAACAGAGTGAGCCAAGCATTTAATAAAATGGAAATTTTTGTTGACTGGATTTTCACAATTGCACAAATAAAGTAAGTTCTTGATGATTTACAAGTACTTGTTGATGGAATATCCATAATAAAGAGTTCTAAAATTAGAAAAAGCTTACCATAAAGGAACAAAAGTAGCAATTGAAAATTATATAAAGTACAAATATAAAACATCCAGTCTTACAAACCATTCAATATATAATACGAAACACCTGATCAATAAGACCTTCAAGTTTTTAAAAAGCTATAAGTATCTCAAAATAAACAGTCACAAACTGAATAGTAACACATGCATAGCGTAAGCAAGGGGTTGATAAGGTATCATGGAAAGACAAGATTAAGCTCAAACAGTTCTGCCACACTGTAGTATAAACATAATAGCAATGGTCTCACAGACTGATGTTTCTGTTTATAAGTTAATGTAAATATTACAGTAAGGTCTTGTTTTACATGGGAATGATATATGTGGATTCATGTTTCAGCAGATGACAACGATTAGGTTAATCCTTAGATACACAGGAATAATTCTATAAATGCACATGCTGACTTCTTTATCATAAATTTATAGTCTGTCCATGGAAAGAATTGACTTGAGATCAACATCACATGTGATATCGCTTCAGTTAAACCAATCAGCACATTCTCTAATGATGTCAGCACTTTTCACTTAATATGTCAGGCAATGTGTGAATTTTAACTTATTTTCTCTCACTAGATGGCAGAACAACTTTTCCATTAATTGTGTTTATTTTTTATAGCATGTATTAACTGTAAAGAATCATACATTTAACACTTACTATAACGAATTTCCTCGTATTCCAATACCAGAACATGAAACTTCCATAATGCTGTTTATAATGACAGTGACATGTTTAACAAATGAGAAAGAAACTGGAAGTAACTTGCCACAACTAAGTGATCAATGGCTGGTGCTTATTGGTTAATACCCAAGTTGATTCTTTCCATAGACAAACTATAGTATATATAGTAAAAAAGTAAAATATTTTAAATCAATTTAACATTTTTCTGTTAATTGTAAATGATTAAATAAGTGTCTTGACAATCATCTGGACTACTTAGAATGGAGCAAAAAGTTACACATGGAATTTCATTTTATGCAGTACATACTAACATACAACCTTCACATAAAACAAGGCCATTTTGTATGAAGATATTTATTTGCAATTCAAACTCCTTTTCTCAAAATGAAAACTTTTTAGAAAGCAAAGATATATTTCTCTTGTTAGTTCCTGATAATCACAATAAAACTTGAAAGTGATTGAATTTTCTAAATAGTTTGAATTGGATTTCAAATTACTTAAATAAATAAACTTATTGGGGAGTCAATATTCAAAGAAAGCTTTTACGTGAATAATTATAAAGGTTCTGTAAATTGAAAATTACCTTAAATCTAGGTACCGGCAGTTCTGCACACTCAGTCCTGGACCACAGCAATGCAAGTCTTGATCGTGGATCTCGAATTTGCACTGGTGGATACAGCGATTCTTGCTATTATTGAAAAGGGAAAGAAATGAATAAGTAAAGGATATATTACCTTTTGATACTATAAAGTTATTAAATAAAACATTTTAAATGAAATAAATCAACACTTGTAACAGGTAAAATTAATATATTTAACAATAAATTTGACAAACAAATAACATTACATTTTTAATTGACTGAATTTGGCTATTTCACATTGAAAGGTTTAATCAATCAGGTAGAGAAAAGTTATGTATTTTATATTTTTTAATTCATAAATAAATCTGAGAAACTTATATTTTTCAATAATTAACACACAAATTGACAATATTTTTTAGAAAATATCAATTTGTAAATAAGTATCACACTGTATAAGTACTCATTGTATGAGAATTTGATGCAACCACCTAATTTTTTTTTTTATCTCTCTTTCCCATTTATGAAAACAAAATATTCTAATCATGAGTGTGGTGAGATAAAATTCCCACATGCTCCAATTAGATGGTTTGTAGATTCCAGTCTGTTTTCTTCGTTTCATTCACATTATTACGACTCCCACTTGCTGTTAGTCAAACTGTTTTTGTGAATAAAACTATTTATTTGACTAACAAAATCATGCACACATTCCTCAAATTGCAGAAGGACCTCCCAATTTTTCATCAGGTTTGAAATATTTTGTGACAGCAATTCAAATGCATGCCTACCTGTAAGCTACAGTATGTATTAATGACTGCTTGCCCCCTTGTTTTCCATAATAAGTCAGGGCATTGTCCTCTAATCAGTAAGATGTGAATTATGTCATTTTACATAATCAGTGCTTTCTTAGTAAATAATATAGATATTTATCTAGTGTTTTTTTTTGTTAGGTTGCATACATGCAAATGTTGAGATAAGATTGGAAACAATTCAAACAAAATGAAGTCTAGCATTCATTGCATCTGTCAATATAAGTTTATCATCATTTTCTTTTTAGTTAACATTGTATTGTAAAGACTAATATATTTAATTTATTTAATAGTGTCTGCTCTCATAACTCTAATGCAATGATGCCAAACTATAGCTCTGGAACCAAGACCTGTCTGCAAACATACTTGACACACACTTATAAATGACAGAAATAGGCCTAACCTTTGTAAATATAGAAGTTACAAAATATTTGTGGCCCACCTTATGTAAAATTTGACCTGCCAATTGAAAAGTTTGGCATCATTGCTCTAGTACATCAGAAAATATAATGAAAATTTAATCCAATATGGTTTTATATTATCAGAAAAAGAAAACCCAGTTCCTTTTTGTATGATTTGTTTAACAACGCTCTCAAATGAAGCAATGGTTCCCAGTAAACTGCAACGTCATTTAATAAGAAATCATCTGCAACATAAAGACAAACCAAAAGAATACTTCAAAATGCTAAGAAATAATTTAAAAATTCAATCAAAAAGGCTGAAGAAATTTCACTCAATTCTCAAGAACACTCAAATTGCTAGTTATAAGATTGCCAGTTTTTGGCAAAGAAGAAAAAAACCACATTCTGATGCCAAGAACATTATTTTACCAGCCTTGGAGATCGCCATTGGCAGAATGATTAGCGATAAAGCTGTCAAACAAATTAAGACTATTTCCTTTGTCAAATCACACAATCTATATATATAAAATTGCTTGTCCTGACTGACTGACTCATTCACTGATTCATCATCGCCCAGAGCAAACCACTGAACCTAAAGAGATGAAATTTGGTACACAGTTAGGGTACGTCATGATAACGCTCACTAAGAAGGGATTTTTCAAAATTCCCCCGTGGGGGAGAGGGAGAGCATTAAGTCTTAACCGAAAGAATGGCTTCTACTGTACTATTTTAGATGCGATTTTTTTGTTTTTATCTGCATTTTAGTAGGGTATACCATGAGAATGCACACTAAGAAGGGATTTTTCGAAATTCCCCTGCGGGGGGAGAGGGAGAGGATTAAGGCTTAACCGAAAAAACAGCTTCTACTGTACTATTTTAGATCGATTTTTTGTTACGTTTAGTCTTCATTAAGTACTTAAGTGTATTAAATTAATAACATTTCAGACATTGTTATAAATATTTTTATATATTTCGATTTTTTAACCAAATGTTCGAACCTTTTTAAATTATAGAACGATTGTAAACGTTCCAGAAAATTGATCAAATTCAAAATAGTTTGTTTGATTCTCAGCAATTCTCATCATTCTCGGCGGTAGATGTTATATAACAATGACTATGGTTGTTGAAATACTGAATATAAATGGGGTTTGCTTGCAAAACCTCTGCAGGTGAAGTTGCGGGTAACAGCTAGTTTCTCATAAAATTCAAGACATTTCACAAGACATTGATGATCAGCTCTGCAAACATTTCACTGAAGCAAAAAACGAACTCAAAAATTTGTGGGCCTTACAAATTGATGAAAGTACAGACATCAGCAACAAAGCTCAACTAACTACATTTCTGCAAATAATGAAAAGTGGTAAAATCATAAGTCAGTTTTTCTTTTCCTGTGAATTGAAGGAAAGAACAACAGGAGAAGATATCTTTAACCTGGTAAACCAAAATGTCATATTAAGAGGGATGCAGTGGCAAACTTGTATTAGTGTTTGCACTAATGATGCTCCACCTATTCAGAGTTGAAAAAAGGTTTCATGGTTTATGTATTACAAAAACATTCACAAGTTAAAATTGTACATTGCATGATTCATTGTGAAGTTTTAGTATCAAAATCTCTACCTGATAGTCTCCTGAAGATGATGGACAATGTTGTTAAAGTGGTGAATTACATAAAATCATTCCCTACATTGCAGTTTTTGTTTTCCTCTGTGAAACTATGGATTCTGATTTTAAGTGTTTACTGCTCCATAGAGAAGTGCAATGGCTCTCAAAAGGAAAAGTGCTTGCATGACCTCTTTGCAACATGAAATAATATGTTTCTTTGATACTGAAAATTCTGGATTTGAATTTCTTAACGATGGTAATTGTTGGCTGAAAGTAGCATTTCTCACCGATCTTTTTTGAGAAGTTGAACATTTTAAATTTGAGTCTGCAAGGAGTGAACAAAAATATCATTACAATTACAAACAAATTAAAGTCTTTCACCAAAAAGTTAGAACTGTGGAACAGGAAAGTTAAAAACTTGCAGCTTGATTGCTTCCCAGGTGTAGATTCTTTTCCAAACAAATTTAAAATTTGATCAGAAGTGCAGAAGACAGAAAATGACACAGAGAGGTTTTCTACTAAGTACTTTCCATCACATGATTATCAAATGTGTGAGTGGGCCATCAATCCTTACGCAACATCTGCCATTAACATTAATGACAGAAAAAATTTAATAAACTTAAAAAAATGATCAAAGCCTCACTTTCTGTACTAGAATTGTCAGAATTTTGGATTTCACTTTGGAGCCAATATCCTCAATTAGCTATTACAGCCATTAAATCTCTGTTGCCCTTTGGATCATTGTATCTTTGCAAATTAGGTTTCTCAGCACCTATGGAAATGAAATGAAAAAAAAAAAAAAAACAGGAACGATTACAGATGGTAGATGAAAAGTTATGGTTACGTGTTTGTTTATCTAATTTTGAACCTCATTTTGACATAATTCTTTCTCAAAATCAATTGCATCCTTCTCACTAATAAAATTTTTATCTATTTTACCTACCTACATATTTTATATACAGATAAAACAATGTTATTTTATTGTCACTATACTAAAAATTTATTTACTGTTTTTCATACTGGTAAAGTATATTTAATTTTGTTGGAATTTTTATTTGGTGTGCCACGAATAAATTCTCCTTGTCCAGTGTGATGTGAGGTAAAAAAGTTTGGCAGACATTGGTCTAAACCAGTGTTTCTCAACGGGGGCGATATCGCCCCCATGTGGGCGTTTTTCCATGTTGAGGGGGCGATTAGTAACAATTTATATTTGGGGGGACGAAAAACAATTTTCTGGGCAATATAGTAAAACATTATNTCTGGTGTTTAAAGATTGACACAGCAATGAGAGTTAGTTCAGGAAAGAACAAAATTTCTTTATTATATCACCTGTAGTAATAGTTTCTGTACACATATTACAAGTGTTTCGGGCTATCATGCCCCTCATCAGCAGTACTACTACCACAAACTAAAAGTAACAATAATAAAACAAGATAAGTTATTGTATAAGTTAAAATATTTTACATAGCCATAAAAATAATTTTAAAAAACTTACTGTAAATACATATTCCAAACCCAAGTATAAATGTATTTTTCTCTTTGTATAATTAATTAATGATTTAAACATTTCACTGTATAAATAAATTAAAATATAATAAATAAAGGTTGTAAATCATTAAAAACTAAAACATTACATATGAAAACCAAAAGGACTCACATCAAGGTTCAAATTTTCACAATTCAAAAATAGTATGGTGTAGAGACTATGCCTTTTTATAATCTTCATCTAGAATGGTGCTCCAGGATTGGTGGATTATACGACCCAAATTATTGTTTATTTTATTTCTTTCTTTCTTTATATTTAAATGTTCGTATAATTGGCGTTTGAAATTATTTGATTCTTTTTTCTTTATTTTTATAGTATCTTTGTTGATTTGGCACCCATAACTATAACTATGTATCCTAGTATAACAAAAAGTAACATTGAAAAATCTTTACAGAAAATTAACACACCTATCTGGATTATTAAATTATGTTTGTTAGTACTGTATAACAATCATTTCAAGTATGGTGATAACTTTTATAGTCAAACTGAAGGAATACCAATGGGAACGTGCATAGGCCCAAGACTTGCCGAAATCTTTATGATAGACATAGATAAAAAAATTACAGATATAAAAGGAATAATATTTTATAATAGATATGTGGATGATTGCATTATTTTATTTGATAGTAGAAAGACTAACGAAGAAAAAATTTTAAAACAGGCAAATTCAATAGAAACAAACATACAGTTTGAAGCCGAAACAGAATGTAATAATAGTTTAAATTATTTAGACATAACCATTAATAGAACTGA